TTAAAGTATTATACCCAAAATCAGCACTTTTGAAAAAGGAAGTGAAATAGAGGGGTATGAGCAAGCCCCCAGGAAGTGTGCCGGACTCTGAGGAAATTATTCGTTGTGGCCAGGTACTACACTTCCGTATGAGTCGCTGGGCCCGGAAATAATTTTTCCCATTGACTAACATTGGGAAAGAGACGTCTGTAAACCGTTGGATACATTTTTTTAAACTAAATAAACTACCCAGTATGAACATTTGTATAGCCCTTATTAAAAACATTCGGTCCTCAAGTTGTAAAATGTGCTAATAACGTTATTCTGAAAGTTATTTTCCTCGTCATTTGAGCACGGATCTAACCCACGGGACCGCGCCGCCCGGCATGTTCATGTGACGTGTTCATTACTACATGAGTTTTACCTTTACCCATGGATGCACAATAAGAACGGATTATATGATTATATGAATACTTTCGTGACGTTTCGCTCTCTCAAAAGTTGGGCCATTTTGTCTTCATGCGCCAATGAGCAACTCTCATAGGAATGAATGAGGCCCCGCCTCCCACGTTGTATCCAGTTCTTATTATACATCCATGGGTTTGAGGCATGGCTAGAATGGGTGATCTGTTTGGTATTTTGTTCAAAACACTTCATAAACATGTTTTTTATATATTTTTATATATCTGAGACCTATGATATTGCCTATAAATAGCATGATGACCTTTAAGAGATACTTTCACTTGCAATGAAAGTTCACCGGGGTCTTTCCATGTACTGTGATTGCATAATATGTTACAAACTCTGGGATGGAATATGGTCATACTTTTTTTTTTAACCCTGATAATAACTGTTTCAATTTCTGGTAAATCAGAATCAGAATGCCTTTATTCATCCCACAGAGGGGACATTTACATTTGTTACAGCAGAAAGGAGCCAAAGACAGCCTATTGTTTAACAAAGAAGAATGCATGACATTTTTTTTTTTTTTTAAATATAATGAATGGATAGTGTTGCTTGCTCATCAAGTCTATATAACCCAACAGTTATGCACGTAATATTCTGACCACTGAATTTACTTGTGACAGGAACTTATTATGACCCTGTTAAAATGATTTTTGGTTTTGTAATTGAATTGTGCTTTTTCGGTGAGGATAGCTACGTCTCCCCTTTTCTCTTTGAAAAACAATGTACTGTTTGAGGACAGTTTATCCAATGCTGAAAACCACTTACCTCTAAAGAAATCGACTAACCAGTCAAACCACCAAACCAACCCAGGGACAGCTTACATCTGTATCGAGTGAAGCTGATATTTCCTCATGTCCAAGTGTCCAACCAGGTGATTCCCGATCAAAAGAGGATGCTTTAACTCTCATTCACCTGTGCACCCCTGTATCATCTCTGAACATCCACTCACGTCAGTCGCTTTTTTTGGTCTGGAGCAGGTTCAGCCTTTCAGTAGGAATGTCCACCTCTCTTGTCTCAGGTTTGTCTCTTCTCTCAGATTCCCGAGTCATGCCGGTCTCCTGTAGTCATCAACACACTTCTTCAGATGTGTGCATCCCTTTCATTTCTGTCACTTTGTCAGCCTGTCTGATGTTACTCAGTGCGTCCATTCCTAAACCATCCTCAGATATTTATTCTACTGTTGTACGTCTCACTCCTTCCAATGTGTCTTTCTTCTTCTTCACCTTCTTTTCCTTTCTTTGTGAGCATCATTCTCAGTCTCTCGCTCTCCTTTCAATGACTCTTTCCACTTCCCTCCCTCTCACTCTAAATCTTCCCTAAGTTTGGTATTCAGACAGGAAGTCTTAATATGTGTTTACAGTCGGGACACGCACATGCATGCCCATGTACAGTATAACAAGACACCAATTGTGGAGCACACATGCACAAATCTACGCACACCAGATATCTGTGGGCACGCAATGCATAAAGCTCAGCTCATACATTAATATGTTATATACAGTGAGGGTCCATGCATTTTCCAAACCATCAAACACTGTTATTTTTAAGGCTTATGCTTAAATGACTACTGTAAAACACAAGTGATGGAGGGTCTGCGTGTTAAATCAGTGAATGGAGCTGGTGTTATGGTATGTAATCATTGTGAAATCCTGCACAGCACATTACATTTCATGAGAAATTAGAATAAATTAAATTAAATCTTTTTTCTGTGCAAAATAATTATATTAAGATAATATTTTCCTTTAATTTATGTGATGTTGTATTTCTATGTACAGCACTTTGGTCTGGAGGGTTTAAAGTACTTTATAAAAATAGTTGGATTTGATTGGATTAATTTTAATTTTAGGAAAGATCAATTGTTATATTGTTAAATTGTATATGTTGTCGATGCATACAGTATATACAGTAGATCTCTGTCTTATTTATTTTTTAAATACCATAAATGAGGTGTCTTCTATGAAGGAAATTGATCTAGTCGGCCCCAATCTGTAACTTATGATACATTTGAATTGAGATGAAAAGTGATTGAACTGGGTGACAAAGACAGAAAGCTCTCTTTTTTTTAATAGACAAGTAGGCTACACAAACAAAAATGCATCAAAAATGTTTGCGATGACCAGTGCCTTGTCATGATTCACAGTGATATATTATAATAAATCGAAAACACAAGATCTTAAAGCAGATATTTGAATCTCGTTTAGCTGAGTGATTTGCAACTGATTTGATTTACTTTTTATCCTGACTCTGACATTTATGTATGCTATAGTGAACCAACTACAAACCTCCTGATAACTTCTATCAAAATGATAAAACCTCCACTGCCTGCACTGTGTTGAATGGTGGAAAAATCCGGGATTGAAACTGAACATAAAATCAGCGTATGAAACTTTAAAAATAAACACAACGATTCGGTTTATGTAATATAGTTATTGTAGAGGTTATTTTAGGACTGACCAAAGCAACAAATAATTTAACCGGATGTCCCATTTCTTTCCTGCTGCCATGAAAATGTGTGTGCTTTTGTCAAATCTGAGGAATCAGTGAATAGGAAGAACATAATTATAAATGTCAGGGTTTGTACGAGGTGTACGTCCTTTAAACTGATATTTAGGACAAACTGTATAACTGTTTTGGTGTATCATCTAATTATATGAATCTAAATTAACAAATGCCTGACCAAAACTTATGTTGAAATGTAAGTCTCAGTGTCTTTATAACATGTCTCTGGACCTACGCTCGATCAATCTCACAGAATGAGACAGGTTTGTGTTTCCTGGTTTCCTGTCTAGAGGATCATCATCACTCACAGATTGTCAGCGTTTCTCGGTAAGATCCGGAATAACGGATGTCAGGAGAAGAGCCATGGATCAACCTGTTACTGAGGACAAGCACAAAGAGAAGGTGCAGGATAGGGACCGAAAGGAAAGAAGAGAGTGGGAAGAGGAGGTGTGAAAGAAAGAATAAATAAATAGGAAGACAGAGTGGGTACAGTATGTCTGTATGCATAGTTGTTGAAATGACAGATTGATCATTATATGTTTGCATGTGCAGGTACAGGGAGAGTTGGAGAAATGTGTGACTGAGTCCAACCAGGGGAACTGGAAAGCTTTGTTTATATCAGGACTTTGGAATATTGATGATAGACGAGAAATGGCGAGGATTCTGTACTTTTTATTCCACTCCCCCGCCGTCTCTCTCGTGGTTTATTTGTCAGGAATGAGACGGGGATGGATGAAGGAGTACGGTTGTCCTGCAGCGAAAGCTTACGTTTTTGGCACTGGTGGTGGACCGACGTGAGGAATTGATTGCAAGTACAAATAATTGCACAAATCCTTCTTGTTGAGATGCAAGCAGAACACTTCACTGCTTATAAACCATCAGCCAGCACTTCAGAGTATTTATGTTCAACGGAGTGAGACTATAATGACCCCTAAAGAAATGACTGATGTTTACAATGTGATGCTGAACATGCTGGGTCTAGGTTTTTTGATAATAATACCACCTTACTTTTACACAGTAGGTCAGCATTTTCCAAACTTTGTCAATACCAGTCGTGTGCTTGTTTACAGAAAGTCTTTAAATTAGCCTATCCAACACTAGCGCAGCATACTTCCCTACACAGTGGATGAAATCATTTTGCAGATTATATAAATCTTAATTCTAAGAATCAAAAAAGAAAAGGATTGATGCAGAACATAAGGTAGTATGTTCTAAGTGTGAGCTGATTTCATACATCCTGAAGCCCCAAAGCCACGTCTCCCGTCACATCTCCTCTCTAAACCTCACTGACGATTGTTTAACTTAATGTCACACGCTCAGAGAGCACGTAAACACGCCTACAGAAACTCTGTGATATACCTTAGACTTGCTGTTTAATTCACTGTCACGCTGACATAACACAGGTTCACAGTCCGGTTCTCACATTTCACATTTAGATGAAAAATCTATATACGCACACTGCGCCTGTACACGCGCGCACACAAACATATTATTGTGGCAGATTGGTAAAATAATGTTTTTCACCTAGATAGATATTAGTAAGCTTGGTAGGTAGCCTAATCATGACGAATACCACTGACCTATGACTGTTTTAAGTAATTTAACATGTAGTTTGATGTCTGACTGAAACTATGAGGGAATTTCAGAATTCAAGGTGACACAGCAGAGATACATGGTTAATGTAAATGACCTTTAAGATGTCAGAACAACACATAGGTAGTGTTTTAAAATGAGAGCGTTGTTTCCACTGGAGCACAAGGGTCCTTTAAAGAGCGGTGAGAAGATTCAATGAGAAGATTTGCTGGCTGAAAGTGTTGAGGTAAGGTTTTTCTTCCCCTAAGTCCTTAAAAGGTTCTTGAATTTGATAATGTAGTTCTAGGAATAGTACGTAAATACAGCAGTACACTACAGTAGATCATTGTTGAATCAGAGGCAGTTATCTTGCCTTCGTTACTTTAAATGTTCCTAAAATATGATGATTACCTAATCATGATCTGACATTTTTTATTTATGTTGTGATGGAAAAAACTAAAAAAGGCACAAAACACATTCTTAAAAGTAAGAGTCAAATGGAAATCTTTGTATGTTTATTTTCAGACACACATTTGATCATTACTTGGCAAAAGTCCATAAGCCAGTACCATGAAAAAAAAAACACACTCATTCACTGATCACATTCAAACATTTTTTTTCTGATCTAAAATAAATCAATATATGTAAAATGTTGATGTGATGATGCGTGTGTGCTGTATTATAGAAATGGCACTTTAGGCATAAAAAAGGACAAACAGACATGCAGTTGCTGGCCTTTCCATAACCAACAAAGTAAAGCATCATACAAAACATTACAATTGTACATTATTAAAATCATACCATGAAACATAGATTTTTCCACCTCACAGTAAAACCGGACAGATAAAGGCCCCTTTGGCTCACAAAAAGGAAGTAGTGGGACATTAATCTCTTTCACAGTTTTTACAAAGGCACCTGAATTGTGTTGTCAACTTAACAATTGAGCCACATTACACTGGCCAAGCACACTGCTGAGGAGGAGCAAACCCTCTCTGGTAAAACCAAGGAAAGGTTCTCTGCAGTACCACATATACAACCGAAAATGGCCCAAATTGGCCATCAGAGGTTTTAAAAGACACTGGAGGAACAATAACCTGAGTAAAAAGGTCACTCCATGGAGACGTGAAGCTTTTCCTACGCTACCAAGTTACATTGTTGTTTTCAACTATTCATTTAACATTTTCCACTTTAAATACATATAAAATCCAACTGTAAGCTTTTCTTAGATCCTGTCAGCTTGAAAAAAAAATTCAGGAAGAAAAAACACCAATTGCAGGAAGATACAAAGGTTAAGGTGTCTTAGAAACAAACTATGATCAGGATGTGATCATTTCCTGACAAGCACCTTTGCTGTGTGTTTGTGTGTGTGTGTGTGTGTGTGTGTGTGTGTGTGTGTGTGTGTGTGTGTGTGTGTGTGTGTGTGTGTGTGTGTGTGCACACATCAGTCAGCCTCCTGTCTGTAGTGAAGGACGTAAAAGTCGTGGACGTACATCAGTATGGCGAAAGGCTGACCAATGATAATTGACATCCACACTGCAGCGTTGCCGTAGTTACCACGCAGGTAGCGACCAACACACCAGGCTAATGGAATCTGTTAAGCAAATTAAAGTTAAACATAGTGAGTGATTGGAGGTTTTATGACTTATTACAGTCTCACATTCTCTCTGTTTGTGTATTTGTTCTTGTTGTCTATGACTCAGCACTCTCTAATGAATAATAAACCGTCAAAGTCAGCAAAGACCACCCCTTATACTGGCAATTGTCCTGCTATATTCCCCATGATACATCAAATATGCCCTGTCATCCTAATGAGGTTATAAATTAAGTTAATGATACAGAAGCCAAGGCCAAACAATGAGAACACATTTTAAAATGTCCCACAGGAGTCAAAAGAGCCATTATTGGCGTTCATCAATAAAGTATTTCATAGATGCTCAACTACTTTCAGCTAAACTACACTTGTTTCTTTCACCTTTTCAACCATTAAGAAAGAATTTATTACATTTAATCGTACAGTACATTTTTTTCAGATATCAGTGAAACATGTGTTGAGTCTCACCTGTGCCATCATGCCTGTGAAGGCCCAAAGCCTGAACATCCTGAGAGGAATGCTCACCAAATACTGAGAGAGAAACAGACATTAAAGCAAAGACATGTGGTTCCCTTTCAAATATAATCAGAGAAATTGCACATAAACATCTTCCTTAAAGAGGATTTTTAAGGACGTTAAGGACCTAAGGTACAGTGTATTCAGATGTAATATAATTAGAAAGTGTTCTTTGTCTCAGCTCTTACCTCATGGAAGAAAGCTGACAAGAAGAAGACAGCTGATTGGCTGACCATTTTACTAAATCCTCTCCTGAGCAGGGGCTTGTAAAAGTGGCTGCAAGACAGACAAAAGAACAGCTGTTGAAATGGATATATTGTATCTGTTTGTATAATACTGATGTTGAAACATCTTAAATCTTTTATGTGCTGTAGTTCTGCCTCCCTGACAGGAATTCAAAGTAAATAGGCTTTAAATAGCATTTCATTTGCTTTGTCTTATTCAATATAGCCTCGCTGCCTTCGCTCGTGCTGCTGTGTTAGTGACTGTGGAACTGGCTGCAGGCTGCCGTATTTATTACTAGCACTTACTCTCCAGCAGCCAGATGAATCAATTTCCAGAATACATCAGTGTGTCTTGTTAGGTCTGTCTCCCTGCATCAAACCCGCTGCTGTTCACTATATTCAATTCTATAAATGTAATTGTTCCCTCTCAGTGTGTGAGTGTGTGAATAACTCACCGTAGACACCACTTGTGAACAGGGATGTTCCAGTTCTGCCAGAAATATGTCACCGTCTCCGAGTTCCTGAAAGAGGAGTCAGCAAATAGAGTGTAGAAGCATTACAGGGTTTAAACAATGGATTTAGGCAGTACGATCAATATTGAAGAAAATGAAAAGTGTGAAACGTTTATTGTCATGCAGGAAATGAGGAAGTAGAAATGACTTTATAGCACATTTGAGTCATAAAATGGATTTAGTAATATAAAACAAGTACATACATAAGGTGACTTCCTGGTCTATTCGTTTTGTAAAGTACTGACATTATTTATTACATACACTTTACAATTTTTTACGAGTGAACTTGCAAATCCATTCCCATGCACACCCAAGCAAATAAATGGACCGCTGTAGAAATGCACTGAAACAAACACACACGCAGAAACTTACCACCAGTCATTATAGAACTGTCTGTCTCCAAAGCGCAGCAGCTCAGCGGAGAAGTTCATAGACGAGTGGAAGAACCCGTAGAAAAACATCAGCCACAACAAGTGGTTAGGAACCTGAAGAAGAACATAAAAATTAGACATTTAAGAGGAACTGTCCAAACTAACATCAAGAAGAAGCCTGAGGCATAACTCAAGCATGTTTCCTACCTATACTCTCATATATATTCTTGATAGATATTTTAAATATAAAACCGATTGGCTGAAAGTCATCTTTATGGTCTTCTGATCGTGTGATTATTCATACTACTGTTGCACTTTGTAATGCTCTATGTGTTATTCCATTTCACCCTTTGTGCTGGTCATAGACTCACACATACTATGACATGTTGTATTCACGCATTTTGAGTATTTACTTACAGCTAATCTTAGAAGTCTCTCAGTCATCCTGGTCAGATCCATGTCCTACAGAGAAAGGAGAGACCGGGTGATTAAAAAAACATGACACCATGTTATTTTTCATCAATTGTCAGCTTCACTTTCACTCTATCCAGGGTATATGCAGGAATCCTGAAGTCAAATTTAATACCTTTTAAGACCTTTTTTAAGACCCTTTCCATACATTTTAAGACCTCATCGCAACTTTGAGTTCTAACCGGTTACATTGGCAACACACTTTACCTCACATTTACTATATTGATTGTAAGATAGCAAAACTAAACAGAGTGCAGACAGACTACTGAAGCCTCCTTTCCACATGAACTTCAACCTCTCTGTGAAGGTCAGGTTTAATGCAGTATGCTGCTTTTTTGCTTCTGTAGACTCTGTGCTCTTTCATTCCAGTAAAACTCCTCAGAAACCATTAGAACACGCAGTATTTGACACATAAACAAACAATGACAAACTTTGACCCATGAAAGCAAGAACGGGACAGCTGGCAGAGCAAAGACCACACACACCACAAAACCAGAAAGGGCCGGGGGCGGAGGCCAACAGGCCAAGGAGAGCCCGACGCAGACCCCACACGGCACAAACCAACAAAGAAACAGGACGCAGAAAAGAAGCAGAAAAGACACAAAAACGGAAAAGCAGAAAAAAACAAAACAACACAACAATCAACGAAAACAGCCAAACAAGGAGGCAACAGCAAGAGGAACCAAAACCAGCCAAATAAAAGAAAAAGAACAGAGGCAACGAAAAGAACGCAAAACCGACCCAAGCCGACGAAACACCAAGCTGGCTAAACAAACACAAAGAAGGGGAAGACGCGACGCGCGCAAGAGGACGCAGACACCCCCACAGGAGGGAAGACACAGGAACAAGAGCAAGCGCACAGAGCAGCAAAGCACACCACAAAAGCCGTAAGGGAAAGAGGAAACCGACAACCAAAGAGAAGACCGCAGCCTCAGCAGGGAAGAAAGACGCCCAGAGGAGCCCCAAAGACAGTGGACCGAAGCGGAGCCAGGACAAAACACGCACAGACGCCGGAATGGCTAACCATCCCAGGCCAGCCACCGAACCAAGCAACTAAGAGGCGCGCGGGCAAGGAAGAAAGCACGGACGCAAAAAAAGGCCAAGCCCGACGAAAGCAAGTGACGAACAGGCGCCAGAACGGGAGAAGGCGGAGAGGAACAAACCAAGCGAACACCAGGAAGCCCACAGCACGATGGGGGACAAGGCAGCGCGGGCCAAGCACAACCCAGAAAGCACGGACTAAGAAGAGCACACACGCCCCGAAAAGCCAGGAATGAGGNTGGTTTTTACCCCGTGCTGCTGATGAAACTCTCCAATTGGCTCGGCAAAAAAATGTGAATGGAAGTGGCGACGTAAAACTGACACCAAACAACAACAAACTTTTGCCGAGCCAATTGGAGAGTTTCATCAGCAGCACGGGGTAAAAACCACCAATGAGCGCTCAGCTCGAGATACCAGCGAGTCGTTTCCCATCAAGCATTTCGCCTCCGCAGCCCGTGGAGAGGAACTGCGCCGCCTCGCTCTCAAGGCTGCGGGCGTCTTTGTCCCGCGAGATTTCAACGTCTCATGTGAGCGAGCCTCCAGAGCAAGTCGGACAAAATGACTAACCATCATGCAACGCACGAGCAAAACGTTGATCAAAATTGCGCAGGTCTGCGCAGGTCTCGCTTGTATCAAACAAGCCTACTTCCAAGCTCGCGCCAGGGGGGGGGGGGCGGGAGGGGTTACAAGGCTCGCGTCTTGTGCTGCATTCACTTGCACTCGGACATTAGAGATTTTCTCTCATAAATGTCCGATGAGCCACAACTTTTCTTTCAAAACAAAGCTGCCAAATGGGGTGCTAGCTGGGGTGGCAAGGCATTTTTCTGAGGCCACCCCGTGCCACCCCGTAGAACCGCCACTGTGGTACACTATATCTGAATTCACGCAGAATATCTTGGAGGCTGGACGTTTCTGTTCTGTAACTTATCCTTCATATGATACTGCATTTTGCTTCCTCATATCAATACGCATGTTTGTAGTCACAGAGAAACAGGAAGCGGAGTGACAGGCGGTAAAGGGTAAACATGGGAGCCGGGATGAACTCGCGTCATTCAGTCACGAGGAGTTGTCTGCGCAGCTGGAGTGAGTTTATCACCGCACTGCTGTCCTGAAAGGGAAGAGAGATGAATGAGGAAGCGCACGGTTCCTTTTGAGGAGGTGAGTGTCCAGAAAGTCTAACTTGACATTTATAACACGTTACTTTAGCCGTGTTTAAAGCTCAGAGAAAAACTTAAAGCATCCTCTCACCTGTGCAGCTTGTGACTCAGGGTCACGTGTCACAGCTGCAATAAAAAAAAGCAATAGCTAAACTTTATGAGTAAAACTTAGCTTGATTCAACATAATTTGCTTCACTGTTATCCTGTATAGACATGTTAGTACGGAGGCATGTGCAGAAATGTGATTGAAAGTGTACATTTTGTCATGTTAATCATGTATAATACAATGATGTTTTTGTTTTGATGTGTGCCAGTGATCTGTTTTTAACTCTGCCCTATTGTAACAACTGTATCAGGCAGTTGGTGTTTCCTCTACAGGTGTTCCTCACATTAGCTGCAGACTGTAGTATGGCGATAGACTGTGTTTACGTACATATGATTTTTTGAAAGAAGTACAGAAAGTGAAAGGATGTCATGCTGCTTTATTCGAGATTATTTGGCAAAATAGTAGACTTTTTTTATACTTTACAACTGGATACGTACCCTGTCCCATCAACTTTATTTCAAGCAGATCATAGAGTGATGTGTAAGAGGCAATTGTTTTGCAGTTATTTTCATCTAATTTACTGTGAAGGTCGGATATATATTTTTAGTTCATGTCTCTGTTTGCCAGCTTGTTTTCTCATCTGCTTCGTGTAAATACTTCATTTTCCTGTGTTTAAGGGCACATGTGATTTGGATTATGCAGTAAATCAGTCCCATTGCAAGCTTTACCACCTCAAGGATGGAGGATATAGACGTGTGTCATTATGTCAGAATATTTAACACTTTTATAATGTTTTTATGGTTTGATGTGGAATGTGTCCAGTCGGTCAAGGCTCATATGATGGTAATGTGCTGCATATAATAATGATCACATCAGATGCTTGGACTGAGGCATCGGGTTTATTTAATGGGTTATTAGTTCAGTAATGTTGAACATTCATGCTGCTGAAGTTTTCATTTTGAATGAGTAAACATTTCTGTTTCAACAGTGAACCATTTTAAAGTAAAATGAGTATAAAAACAATACATGTTAACAAATCATAGTTAGGAATAATGTATTTCCTAAAGAGAGCACTTGAGGTTATTTTGTGCAGCTCAGTTTTAGCCAAAAAAGTGCCTTTTATTTTTTTAACCTCACTACAAGTCTGCCTCTGTCAAATTTGCATGGGTTTTTCCTATATGTTTCTTCTGTTGCACATGTTATCACGTGCACATTGCACAGATGAGCCACATTTTCCAAGATTTCCAGACAAACAGGGAACATTGATTTAAAATAACCCTAAAAAGCAGTATACCAAAATTGGAAAAAAATAACTCCATACATGGGATATAGGATGGTGTGTCTTTATCACATGATGTGAATCTGCAGTGAAAAAGCTAATTAAGTTGTGAGTGACATCCTGTTTCCTGTTTTCCCCAAAGAGCTTTCATCAGCCTAACTCATTCTAATATGTTCCTGATTTGTCATATAGATAAAGAGGAACTTTATGAGGGCCCCTGGGGCCACAAACTAAAAGGGTCCCGCTGAAAGTATCCTGGCAACAATTATATAAAGGTCACTTTTTCATTCTGTTTTCTTTAAATATGGAGTTTCCTGCTATTCTCTTTGTTATATTTTGCAACATTCAAAACCAATTGATTGATGAGAAGTGAGCATGAGTGTAGTAGAAATGGAAGGAAAGAAAGGCAAAGGAGGAGTTGGGCGATCCGCTCTGAAGACTTTGATTTGTAGAGTTTAAAGTTAAACAGTACATTCAAATTGCAGGTTGTCACAGGTTTTTAGAATATGGCAAGAGTACTAAAAGCGTAATGCCACCCTGGAGCATTTTCTGGTGTTTGAGAGCTTCCTGAAAAGTATCATCTTGTATTTCAAGACTAAAGTGTATTATATCACATTAAAGTAAATATATTTAGATTTTTGCCTTGAAAATAACAGACATTTAAAGACATTATCTTGTCTATGTCCCACCTTGATTTCTGCCTCTTCAACCCACTTTTTCCCCTCTTCCCCCTACATCCTTGTCTCCATGCTCTGTCTGACTAGTCAATACCATTTTTGTTTTCATTGACGCCCGCTCTGTTCTGTACCCGTTGGGGGGTATTTGCTGCTGAGCCAAACCGTTAAATATCTTGACTAAGGAAATAAAGGTTTTCTCTGACTGAAGTGGCCCTGCCTGAAATGTCGCACTGTGTTATTGTTGATGAGTACATCTGCGGTGAAAACGAGCTGGAACAAGCACTAATGTGTCATGTGTTTTGACTTTATGTATCTGGTAAATGTTTTCATGCAGAACGATGAAGATGAGAGAGCTGCGACAACTCTCTGCCTTTTTAACACACAATCTTTTCTGTCATCTTGAATGTATTTTCTTTGTCTGCTTCTATGACTGATCCTCTGTTTCTTTCTTTAAACGTTCAGTAGTTGCGATCCCTCAGGTCTGTTTTGGCACCTTGGTCTGGTTTTGTTGGTCCATCTGGATCCAGGGTTGGTGTCAGTGATGGCCGACCATCTTCCTCCTGCTCTGCTGGAGGCCTGTGTGGTGTTAGGAGCCTCTAGTGACAAACTCAGTGAGCTCTATCAGGTATCTGCCTCTAAAACACACCGGCCATAAGTGGGACCGATGTACTGTTAACTAAGAAATTCTTCATGAGAACTCTAATTTGTTCTTTTGAAGTCTTTACATGAAAAGGTTTTTTTTTTTATGAGAATGATTAATAACCCTTACTCTTATGAAACAAAATGACTGCAACATCAACA